TGCAGTACAAAATATAAAAGAAAAAATTAAAGTGCTTTGGAAATCATTAAATTTGACACGGAACCACCAATATTTAAAAAAACACATATTACATTATTATTCTTATTTGATAAATTGATACATATGTTTTCCCCATCAATTTAAATAAGAATAATCAATGCAGAGTGTGCAAACATTTCAAAATCATGAGTTAAAAAACGCTGACTATGCGAGTATAAATATTAAAGCCTAACAGAGCGGAGCGGCGTGCTGCCAGCGCGAGAGGCTCACTGGCGCCTGCAAACCTAAGTGGATACTTCACGCATTGCACAATGCTTGAAGTATCCACTTAGGTTTGTAGGCGCCAATGCGCGTTTCGGGCTGGCCGCCCGCCCGCGCGCCCGCCGTGCAGCGGCGCCTGAAGCAACTATTTCACAACAGAGATGTTGTACAGTATTATACGAAATAGAACGTATTAAGAATGACAGGCATCCTTTAAAAGTACAGATCTTTCCTCGCAAAATAAAGCAAGATACTTATCGTACACAGGAAAAATCTAAGAGCCTTTAGCTGAGGCAGATATAGAGATTTATCCGGTTCAGGTATAACAAGGTGGGAATTTCTTGAAAGGTAATTAAAACCTGTTACACCAAACCTAACCTAAAAGCTGATTTCAAAATATTTTTCTGCCCTGAAATGAGAGAAGAAAGCATGTTGCGTGGTGCTTCAGTTCACTGCCCTACAAGCCCATTACACGGCCTGGAAAACGATACTTAAAAAGTTCACCGCCACGGATCGTGTTTCTTTAATGGTTATTAAAAATGCTCAACTTTTTTTCATCGGGAAAATCCCGTTCTTTCCGTTTCTTTCCCCCCTTTTTTAATTCTTCCAAGAATTGAATCTCCTGTAGATTTGTCGAGTTGTATCAAAATTCTCTAATCTGTGCTTACTGTTTGCTGTGAGGTGGGGTTATGACGTTCGTAAATTTCGAAGTTCTGCAGTCAAGTACGGTCCTTCCTGAATGAAATGGACGCAAACATGATGAGAAAAATTTGCTTGAGGAACAAATCTTGCCTAATATATCTTTTCTTTGTAACCTGGAATGGACATAGAGGCAGTAAGGTATGCATTGAGAAACTATGCAACATGTATGATTTTTAAAATTTCACAAGAGAAAACGGATCACACAAAGAGGAAGTCTAAAAATCGACTTTTACAAGGTACAGGTGTCTACAACTAACTTAGGTTAAATGCCATATCAATTAACAATGGTAGAACCTTAATAAATTAGGTTACTAACCCAAATGCTGTGGCACTACCCCACTTGAGTTGGGGTACTACCAAAATTAGCTGGAAATGTCCATGTCGCAGGCAAATAGTCAAATCAGGCATTTTATCAAATGCCTAGGCAAGTGGTCAACTATTCTTACTTCGATTGAAATTCTGATTCTTCTGCTAATTTTAGACAAAATAATTCATAGTTCATGTAAGAAAGAAATCTCTATGAAATTGTGTGGCATAGAATGGTAATATAAACGACTTTTAGCTCCTAGGCGAACATTTTTGTTGATATTGACAGTATGTCGTATAAAGCACAATTTTTTTTTGAAAATTTTAATAACTAAATCCAAGAAGAGCGTTGGCAGAGGAAGAAACAAAGAGATTCCGAGGATTGAAAGAGTCATCTAAAACTCTTCAGCTTCTCGTCGTTAATTTAAACAAATTCATAAACTGTCAAAATTTGACCATCTGCCTCGGCATTTGATGAAATGTCTGTTTTTACTAATTGCCTGCGACATCCATATCATCCAAAAAATGGATAATTTTTTTCTGATATGGGAAATAGTATAAGAATAGATTTAAAAGTGAGAAAATGCACCGCCTGGTGACGTCATCGGGCGGCATCTCCCCTTTAAACACACCTTTCTTAGCAGATTAGATTATTTTGTCATATCTTCTGAAATAATTGTTCAATGCATGAACCAAGGGTATCCTCGTACTCAGTTCACTCAGTATTCTCCACTTAAAAGTACGAAATTCATCAAATATCAGACACCTGCAGATCCTCTATTGGGATAATTTCACAATTTTAGGGGATAAACCCCAACACTTTTTATTCCGTGGATGGCTGACGATTCCCTGTTAAAAATGACGAGTAGGCTATTCAGAAATTCGCCAACTCACATGAATAGAACTTCCTACTTATACGAGTAGAAATCCTACTCATATGAGAAGAAATTCTACTCACATCACTAGAATATTTTACTCATAACATTAGAAAAGTTCAATTCATATGGGTTCAATTTTTTCCATTTTTTAGAAGTGATATTTCTGACCAGGAGACACCGGCATATAGTTTGTAAATTTGAAAACTAAAAACATTTTGCTTTTATGATTTCTTTGATGCGGTGACTAGTTTCTGAGATATCGGACACGGTAGACTCAGCGCTGAACTCATGTCAGTGGAAATCTCTAGTAATATGAGTTGAAATCTCTAGTCATAGAAGTTGGCGAAAACTAGACGGAGAGATTCTGCTCATACACTGAATAAGAAATCTCGGTGTATTTACTGAGAAAAGGGTAAAATTACCAAGAACTCAGGGTTCTATTTGATTCCAGTTTTTTCTTGGTAAAATTACCATTTATGGAATTGGTAATTTTACCGATAAATCTCGGTAAAATTATTGAACTTTCTCGGCAATATTACTGGACCTTGGTAAAAACGCCAATATTTTTTATCGACAGTGGTAAACCTACCGAGATAAAATGGCAAAGTTACCGGGAATTGATTACCAATGAAAGTCGTATTCTTACCTGAAAAAACAGTAAAAATACCGGTTTTTAGGTAAGCTTATCAGTCTGTCTTGGTAAAATTACCAATAATTGGTAAAAAAAAGTGAGATGGTAAAGGTACCAACGGACCTTGGTAAAAACGCCGAGAATTTTTTTTTTCAGTGTATGAGTTAAATTGTATTCATATAAGTTAAAATTCTATTCATATGAGTTGAAATTCTATTCATGTGAATGGAAATTCTATACATATGACTTTGATTCTCTACTCATTCGTACTCACCATTTCTAGCAGGGTCTTGTTTTTTTCCCCCGATTGAAACGAGGCAACTATGGGAGGAGTTTGGCCGGCGGGAAAAACAAGGACATTTTGTGAGCAGGGTAGCGCGCTGGTCCGAATCATATCGTCCGATCCTCGCGGGACCCATTTTCGAGTTGGCTGCAAGAGGGGGAGGGGGGTAGGGAAAAGCGGGGAAAGCCAGAAGCGGTTGTAAATATTAACTGCACAAGATGTAGAGCCCACTTGTGGCTGTGGCCATCTCTGCGGCGCTTTCCTGCACCACCAACCCCGAGCACAGACGTACAAGCATTCAACGGAACAGCGGTCGAACCCATGGAATGTCGAACTAAGAAGAAACTGAAGTATCCCCAAAGCGTAAGGACTTGACTGCCGAACGGTGGATCAGGTCAATAGGAGAGGTCGGACAAAATTTGGAAACTTTGAACGCGCTCATAACTCCGTTTATACAAAACTTTGAGGTTCTAAAAGTGGGGCCATTGGTTTCTTCGTGAAATTTTCTTCTATAAGCACCCCTTTACTGGAAAAAAAAGAATCTTAAAGCCGCCAAGAAGTATTTCTTCTTAAATCAAGATTTTTTTTGGTTAATATAAGCTACTTTTTTGCTTCACCCAAGGATTATTTTTCTTGTATCAAGAAGTATTTCTTCTTAAATCAAGAATTTTTCTGGTTAATATAAGCTACTTTCTTGCTTCACCCAAGCATTATTTTCTTGTATCAAGAAAAAGTCAGTTTAAAGCAAGAAAAAAAAAAATTCTTGGCGGCAAATTCAAGAATGATCAAGCTTGATCCAAGCTATTTTTTTTTCAGTGTTGAACTTTAAAATGTGACAAATTAAACGTTCCTGTATATATAATAAAGCCTACAAGACTCCATGAATACTTCACGCATTGCGTCAAACGCAGTGCGGTCAGTTGTAGCGGTTGGCGCCGTGAAACTCATAGTGCCTACAAGAGTGCATGAATACTTCACGCATTGCATCAAAAACGCAGTGCGGTCAGCAGCGGTCGGCGAGAAACGCACAGCGCCTACAAGACTGTAAGGATACTTCACGCATTGCGCCAAACACAGTGCGGTTGGCGCGGTGGAGGGTGTCCATTTACCATGCATAGTCGTTTTAGCAGGGCGGTTTGCGAGTTGCAGTGGATCGAGTCAATGGGAGAGGTCGGACAAAATTTGGAAACTTTAAAAGCTTATAACTCCGTTTATACAAAACTTTGATATTCTAAAAGTGGTTCCATTGGTTTCCTCTTGAAATTTTCCTCCAGAGGCACCCCTAATTTAAAATGTGACAAATTAAACGTTAAAATTTGCAGTTTTAGTCGCAAATTTTTTGTCTGATCTCTCTAATTAACTCGAACCACTGTGTGCCGGCGCAAAATTCTACACTCTGTTCGCCACAAAAGCAGTGATGGTTTCTGATGGTAACTCATCAAAAGTTTCCGATCAAGTTCGTCAGTATAATGCGACCACCATAGTTGCATTCACAAATTATATAGTTGGTAGTTCCATGAGGCACGACTGAATAGTCATCGATCAACATCTGAAAAATGAAGAGTCAAAAATAAACGCGTCCATCAAAGAGGTTTAGGGATGGTTTATGGATCCCTCCAAATACAAAAGTTTTACCTCTGAAACGAAAAGAATGACTGAGAATCAACAAGAAGAATTGACCCCGGAGACATGCAAGGATATAATCATAACAGCCGCTGACAGGATCTTCTCTAAGATACAAAACAATCCGCTTAAGACGAAAACGGTTTACTGGTGGAATCCCAAGATTAAAAAACTCTTTAAAGCAATAGATAGACTAAAAAGCAAAATCCGTTACTTTAAATTTCATAAAAGGCCCACCTCGATTCTCGCTCAAAAATTGACACTTACTAAAAAAGATCTAGAAAAAGCCATCAAAATCTCCAAAAAGACAAAATGGAACAAAATGATTGATGATCTAGATAACGACCCTTGGGGCACGGGGTACAAAATCGTAAGCAAAAAACTTAAAAGTCCTAGATCTTATGATGAAAATGCCATATCAAATGAGGAAACGATCGAAGCGATTAGAAATCTCTTTCCAGTCCACCCCAAAAACACATGGAATACACCAGAAATAAATCCGGATGAGATTCCGCAGATAACTAAAAATGAAATCCTAAATGCTACAAAGAAACTCAAACCTAATAAGTCTCCGGGCCCTGATAGGATACCGCAAATTTTAGTTAAACTTTTTGTCTCAAATAACGTAGAGAAAGTTCAAGCAATGATAAATACCCTTATGAAAACTTCCACCTTCCCTCTTGACTGGAAAAGAGCAAAATTGATACTGATTGCAAAGACCAAGAAGAAACCTACAGATCCCAAAAAATACCGTCCGATCTGTATTCTTAACTCATTTTCAAAAATCTTTGAATACATACTCCAAGAACGCCTCATGAACTATGTGACCTTATCAGATAATCAATTCGGATTCCGGAAACAAAGATCGACCACGCATGCTATGAAGAAGCTAGTAGAAATATATGAAAATAACAAAAAGGTCCCATATGATAAAAGGAAAATGCTGTGCATTATTGGTATCGACATCCGCAACGCGTTCAACAGCCTGCGCTGGAAAGATATAATCAGGGAACTGAAAAAACAAAAAGTACCTGACTATCTTATTGCAGTCATGCAAAATTATCTACAGGACAGATACGTGGAATCAGGAGAGTTAGTTTTTGAAACAACAGCAGGCAGTTTTTAAGGAAGCGTAATTGGACCCCTCCTGTGGAACATAGTATATGACCCGATCGTCAGAAGCAAAACATCCCCTCATGCAGAAAAATTAGCTTATGCTGACGACATGTTAAAAGTACTCATTACACAGAACAAAGAAACCCTTCTTCAAGACAGCGAGAGCATCACAAAGCAAACGAAGAAAAAGCTGAAAAAAAGAGGACTTTCAATGGAAAATTCGAAGACAGAGTCTTTAATTCTTGAAGGCAGGAAAGTGGACAGAGCTGACGCGAAGATTTCAGTAGATGGGGAAATCTTGGATGTTGGGACTACGTTGAAATACCTTGGTTTTAACCTGAACAAGGGTCTCAACATGTCACACCATATAAAGATCGCTTGCGAAAAGACGAAAGCAGTTACAAACCACTTTAGATCAATCCTGCCAAACATCGACGGACCAACGTTTCTTAAAAGAAGACTGATCATTCATGCCATCCTCTCCATTCTATGGTATGGAATTGAAATATGGGCAACCTCCTGCAATAGGAAAAAGAACACAAACCTAATTACCACCACCATCAGACCTCTCAAGAGAAGCCTAAGCTCAGCCTACAAAACTGTCAGTAATAGTGTACTTAATGTCATCACCGATTTGCCACCAACTGACCTTTTAATTGAAAAAAGACTTCGCACAATCAAAAAGTCAGAGGATAAGGTTGAAATAGAAATCGACATCAACAGAAGATGGAACCAAAGATGGATGGAAGAAGGAATGGAAAATAAGGACAAATGGCTACACAAATTGCTCCCCTCACTTCAGCCATGGATTGAACGCAGTCATGGAGACGCCGACTTCTACTTGTCTCAATTTTTCTCTGGACACGGCTCTTTTAACTCATACCTATACAGATTTAAGCTTGCTCCCTCCCCTTTGTGCCCCCTATGCTTGTCTGCTCCGGATACGCCGGAGCATACTTTCTTCGGCTGCACACACATTGAGGGAAAGAAGAAAGAATTAGAAACTAAATTAGATACAGATATCTCTCCAACAAATATTATGAGTCTCATGCTTAACTCAACAGAAAACTGGGAACTCATTAAAACATACATAACAAAAATTATCAAAACCAAGATAGCAACTAACAATTCTTTAAACAGCCAATCCACCCCAACACTAAGTGTTGCAGCCGGAGAAAAATCCCCCAATAGGGATGATTCCGGCATTATCCGGGCAGACACGCAGCCGTGAGTTTGGTTTAGTTGGTCGGCTCGACCTCGGTCCCCGATCTCCCTAGCCAGCTCCTGATCAGAGCAACTTTCTAAATTAGAGCCTAAACCAACATATGATAGTTTAACCATCTAGATGACCATCTGGCCGAAACCCACCCCATGTTGGGGTGGTAGTGCGAAACGGATGGAAATCGAAACCCCCGACTTTGTTCACACAGCCGGCGGAACAAGATGCTTAAATTGTCATATCTTCGATAAGATTCGCCACTTTTTCTCCCGGAAGAACTACAAAAAAAAAAAAAAATCAAAGAGGTTTGCTAACTTTATTTTATTTTGAGCTTAAAACCCTTTTTCTAAATCGGCACCTTCTGGCCAAAGTTTTAGAAGCGCCATGCGACGCTCCGAAAATTTATTTTTTTACGGAGACATTTTTGGTTGAATATGTTTGAAAATTTCACTGAACTTTATCGGCAGCTCTAAGAAAATACAGTGAAATATTCGGGCAACTTTGTTGAAAAAATTCTCTGTAAAAAAATAAAACGGCTGCGGAAATTTTGATTCGTCGCATGGCGTTTGTGATACTTTGGCCGAAAGGTGACAACATTTTGTTGGCGCTCGCACGAAAATGAGATTAACGTACTCCAACTTTTCATGTAGTATTTTGCATAGCACCTTATGATATTATTTTAATTCAGCAATAACGGTTCACGGTTTGAGAACTGTTTTCAATACAAACTAGGCAATAATTATTCCAAACACTCAGATTTACATTCTCAAGAGAAGACTATTTTTGGAAGAAATTGAAAATGTTTGAATTTTAATATTTAAAGTGTTTTTAATTTTTGCCCCATCTGATTTAGAAATTAAAGTAATAGAAAGAAGATTTCTAAGAACCATTACGCTGTCATTTTTTGTTGCTTCCTTTACAAAAACGCACCGAAAATGACAGCATAATGGTTGTGAGAAACCTTCTTCTTTTATTATTTTTATTTTAATATTCGCTGCTTCTCCAAGCATGTTTAAATATGACATCTAATCTAGGGACTCAAATCGAGCCCTCCTTTCAAACAACGCGTTCCTTTGTTGCTCCCTCGTTGGTGAGAAATAGAGTACCTTTATAGGGAGAGAATGGGCAACTTGAAAATTTAGAGGTTAGGTTTGATCAGATCGTAGCTCTTGGGGCCCAAAAGGGCAGCCAACCTATGAACTCGAATTATTTAGTGGTACTAATTTTTACAATTCTCACTACCCGTCGTTTCATAATTTTTAAAAGCACGTTTAAAACTTTGATTTCGCATAAACTTTCTCAGTTTCAACTTCTTGATTCTGAAAGACGCTTGTTTAAAATGCGCTGTGGGCCAGGTTGATTTATCTTTCAAATGCATAGGTTATCAGCGGCACATTTCTAGTGATTTCCGTTTTACACGTTATCGTCTTTTTGGGCCCTGAGAGCTACATAAATCGAGTTGTCCATACTCTCCCTGTAAAGGTGTTCTAGTGAGAAATGGAATATCTATCGATTAATCAGAGACCAGGTTTTTACCACCGTTCAACGATTAGTGTCAACAAAAAATTGTGTTCATATACCTCCGTCTCCTGTTGGTTGGATGTTACAAGGGTTAAGCATTTGTTTTATAACAGTGACTCAGTCATGTCGGTAAACAAATCATCGTGGCAAACTAGATCACTACCTCATTCAGTAGACGACGGAACAAGGGGCGCAGTGGCGTGCACGATGACCCGAATGTGCGTGCTGGCTTCCTGCAGCTTTGTCAGATTTCTAAATCACCGAAAGAAAAATGGAAGTTGATTAAACATTCTGGATGTAAGAAAAGTATGCGAGAACTTAAAAATGATGGATTACCCGCACAGCTAGGTTAGATTAGGTAGGTTGGGTTAGGTCAGGTCAGGTCAGGTTGGGTTAGGTTAGGTAAGGTTAGGTTAGGTTAAGTTTGGTTTAGTTAGGTTAGGTTAGGTTACGTTAGGTCACGTTAGGTTTTACATCTTCACTGAAAAAAAAACTCCGGCCGTGGGAGCCGCAATTACGGGCTATATAGACATACCGTCCGTTCCGGGTTCAAAGGCCGAAAATTCCGGCTGCTGGAGCCGTAGCTTCGGCCTCTGAACCCGGAGAAATCGAAGCTACGCCTCCAGCAGCCGGAATTTTTGGCCTTTGAGCCCGGAACGGACGGTATGTCTATATAGTTCGTAATTGCGGCTACCACGGGCGGAGATTTTTTTTCAGTGTTGGTGTGCTAAAGTAACTACTGTAGCGGGTAATTCAGCATTTTATAAGTTCACGCATACTTTTTTACATTCTGATTGTTAAGTCAGCTTCTTTTTCTTTTTCGCGGTGAGTGCCTAAAAAATCGTAAGTTTGTAAAGCGCGGAAGTTTAAAACCTCAGCGCCATCAGGTATTGCCAAGAATATGAGGCGTTCGGCGCAAAAAGGGCATTTCTTGGTTGTGGTGTTTCCGAATCTCCAGGGCTGATTCTTATTTTTGAGAGGAAAATATTGGATGTATATCCTGAAATTTTACATTTTCAGTACCATAAAGTTATCAAGGGTATTCAAGTAACGTTAGAACACATTACATACATTTGCTTCAATTAAAATGGGTGAAACGTTAGCTGAGATTTTGATACACTGTGACCAAGAAATGCCGTTTTTTGCACCCAGCGTCTCGATTGTGAATGATTTCAAAGACAGTAAATTTTAATGACCCTGCAGTGCTATCTTCCCGAAAATGTATAAATGTTACTTTCGGAAGTCACCTCCCGAACTTATGTTGCAGTTACACGATCAAATTGAGCCATCAAATTGAAGCTCTGATTGGTGGAAAAAGACCTGAGGTGAGGACGCGACCAATGAGAGGCCCAATTTGATGGCTCAATTTGATCGTGTAACTGGACCTTAGGAGCACCTGTATGTACTGAGTATGGCCATTCCTATTATTTCAATTCAGGAAAGCTGTGCCGCTTTTTGATTGGTCCATGAGTTTTCGGCTATCATGATGCCTTTGCGGCCGTAAATGAAGAAACACTCCTACCCGTCGATGAACTTCAAAAATTTGTGTCGACCCTGTAATGAGAAATCACGCCAGATGTACCGTTATCAACTTTTTCTGCCCTGATTAACCCAATTTTAGGTATTCTTCGAATTATCATGCCAATGTGACTTAAAGTTACTCCTGCAGTTTTTTCCCCGTTAGATAATAAAATTATTTATTATCTGACATTTAACGATTATTTCGTTAATACTTCCTAGAGGGAATCCAACGGTGCGTAGAGTTGCATTCTTGTTTGTTTACTTATGACCGTAAGCGCCACCGTATCAGTCTACTTTTTGCGACCGACGAAGGAGCGGCACACAAAATAATGGTCATACACTTTCATAATTAATAACTATCATATGAGCTCAGAAGCTCAACATTTTATGCATTCAAATAAACCTCAATTTATCATATCGCTCCATGAAGTTTGATCGAACGACGATGTTTATTTCGGTTTGTACATATCGTCCACTTAAATCCGCCTTCAATTACGCTGGATAGGCAACATACTAACCAATGTAACAATAGCTATTTGAAAAACCTACATTTACTTGGCGCTGTGGCCTTAAAGTGAATTTGTCGTAAGTTCTTCATCCTCTTCATATTTTTTTGAGAAAATGACAGCTAGACATACTTTTTTTTGCTCATCAGGAATCATTTTCCTAGCTACTTTACTATTACTCAACGTGAACCATGTGCACTAGAATTCACCTATTAAAGCAGACTATGATTCATACTCCGCCCCCCGCCCCCGCCCCCCCCCCAAAAAAAACCTTTATCGTTCAAATTTCACATTTGACGGCAAGCTGCGTTCAATCTTGTCAAGCAATTTTTTGTACTAAAGAGCTATTCCTCCTGACCGCTTCACACTACTTTGCTGTCCAACTCCCCGAAGCGCTTCCAGCCTCATGCATTATATATGCGTTACTCGTTACTCTTATGATTTTACTTTATAGATCAACACTCTCATCTAATTTGCTAGAATTTCGCTTAGCAAAAGGATCACTTCAACAAACCTAGTAAGCATCAAATGGACCGAATATAAGACTAGCGGAACACAAAACAATTCTTAACTCATTTTTAAAGAGAAATGTGGGTTGGTTCCTTTTTGATAAACTCGGTCCAAATGTAGCTAAGATTTTGCGACCAATTTTCACACGTCAATTGCCAGAGAGACGGATTATTGTCATAAACCCAGGAAAAAAATCCAGAGAAAATTCTCCAATTAAATCTCCGAGATTAATTTGACAGTGATGAAAACCATGCATTATCCTGAGTTAGTTTTATCTTTCTCACTTTACTTAACCAACCGCGATCGGAAATTTGCAACTTGGCACCGACACCTCGAGAATAAGCTCCTTCATCGATCACGCGTGCTGTTCTCGAATTACCGATCTGATACGGGTAAAATATTCGAGAAATTATGACCGGCGATGTCAATATTGTATTGTTCTTAGTGGCTTCGCGCCGAGTTTTACGAGGCTGGTGCCGGGATAATTCTTCCGTCTGACGTCCGAAGCGCCCGCCGACCCCCGGATCCAAAACCGCGTATCCTCCCGTCGATCCCCCGTGCGCATACGCGGTTCTCGCGTCGTCTGGCACGACGATATGTTCCTCGGCGGAGAATGACGTAGACGGTAATAAATGCGAGCGGACGTATGGACGTATTCCTGCCGAACGGAACTATGTGGATTATGACGTGAGCCCTGTCTTGCGTTTATCCTTACGGATCTCAGGGCTCGTGTCGTAATGCACATAGTTCCGTTTGGCAAGAATACGTCCGTATGGAAAACACTCGCATGTCAGACAGCTTGTTTCGGGCACGTCAAGCCGGTCGGTGGTTCCAGACGGTGGTATCTCGTGACCGATACAAATACGTGGAGGCTTCGATTTAATCGCCGATTGTTATCGGAGCTCGAGCCTTAAAAAATACTAAACGCAACGAAGGGATTGTTTGGAATAATGCATGCCCATGCCTCCGGCGCCCCCTTAGTATTGTGGGGAGGATAATTGCACGTGTTAATTGGAATGAATTGAACATAAGCGGGCCTAGTTATAGATTCAAGGAAAAACATATCAACGTCGTAAGTCCAAAATCACATAACTTGGTTTGCGAAGTCGCAGACTTCCTGTCATACTTCATTTTTTAAACGGAAAACTACTTAACGGCAATTCTTAAAAACTGTCATTATTTTCCTTCTCGGTGCGAGGAAAATTGTGCAAAAATTTCAACGAATGATGCCAATATATTCTCCTTAAAAAAAGAAGAAAAAAAAATATGGAGCCGGAGATTTTCAGACACCGTTAACGAGAATTTGAGAGCAAATGGCTCACGTTGGAACATGGCTAAATAGTTGGTGAAATGATTCCTAATCAACCAGAAAAAACTGTAGTTTTCTAAAAAAAAAAAAAAAAAAAAACTTACGCTTACTTCAGTGTCCGAAGATACAGTGTAAGATATAGTCGATGCGAGATAAATGTAGGTTTTTTTTAATAGCTATTGCCCCTTTGTAAGTTTGTTGCCTATTCAGTCTAATTGAAGGCGAAATTTAAGAGGACGGTATCCACAGACAGACAGAAACGCACATTTTTCATGGTTTCGATCAAACTTCACGGAGCGATATAATTGCGTCTTTTTCGAATACATATTTGTTCCAGCTCGCAGGTAGGTTTGTTTTCGATGCGACCTGATTGAAGGTTGAAGGCAACGAATTTAATAAAATTTCCGAGCAACAACACGCATTTCCTTAATTATTTACTTCCTTCGAGGCTTATCGATCATTTTAAAAATTATATTAATAAATATTGTAGAGAGTTATACTAAACCCGTACTTCTGCCTCATTTTTAACCAAACGTTTATCAAGAAAATGATAAGAATTATTGGTCTAATATTGATAGATTTGGCAAACGTGAATGCAAAATTCTATTTGTTAGGATCCCGGAAACCTCTCAATCTGTTTGATCCACTTTTCGGTAGACGTAAAAAGAGATCTTCAAAACATCNAATATTCCAGTAAAAGTGTCTATGCCGGCGCGAAGCGCCGGCTCGAGCGAGAAAGTCCCGTGCGGTCCCCGCACCAATCCGCTAAGCGGATGGGGGGGCGAAGCCCCCCAAATGCCGGCGCGTAGCGCCGGTACGCGGCGCGAAGCGCCGCGCATAAATTGGCCGGAGGCCAATTTTTTTCATTTTTCCTTAACTTTAACTTTTTATTAAGGAAACAATTTGTACAGAATTACATCGTATGTTTATATAATATTTGCTACACTATTTACAATTTTTTCGAGCCATTCGGGAATACCGAGAATTGTGAGACAGAGCGATCGAATGAACTTATAATATTTACACATTAACATCTAAATTTGTCAATAAATCTTCATGTGGGTGGCAATGTTGAGTGTACTCATTGGAGTACTCAAATCCGAAAAAAGATTTGGTGAAAACATTTTGGTGATATGAAGTAGGTTGAATATTCAATATTTTTCAGCGCCAAACTAGGACTAAAGATACAACAGGAAAAGCAAAACATTTTATTCACACATTGCAACATATAGCTTCAGACACAAAAATCATACAATATTATATACAACATGAAACATTGAACCCGTACGGAGTTCACCTTGCAGAAAGGGTAGATTCGGCTCCACAATCCTCATGCACATCTATTGGTTTTTAGTTTTGAAGGTTTCAGAGTAAATTTTGTTGTCCAAAAAGAAAAATGCAATTCCTCCATTCTACAATTTTCAATATTTGTCCTCTAAAAAGATTAAATTTTGCAAGGAAACTAATGAGTATTCATCTTTTAAAATTTCACCATTGGAAACTCAAAATGAAACAATTGAAAGCATCATGAAAATCAGATGTTCTTGTAAGACAGGGTTACGAGTGGAGAGGAAGTACAAACCCTAGTATAAAGTCACAGCGTTTGTGCTGTCAACGGCAAAATTGCATGGCGGAGTTTACTCTGAGATTTTTCTCCATAGCTTTGTCAAACAAAATAACAACCCTGACAATATATTTACTCCTTATCTGTCCAGTGTGTATTTTACTGGATAGAAAGACGGACTCACAGGGTAAAGGACGATGGATTTCCTAAATCACGGTCTCAACTTTAAGACTCTGTTGTGGAACTTGGAAGCTCGTTTCAGTAAAAACCAGTGGCACCATCCTGTTTTTTGCAAACTTTTAAATTCGAAATTGTACACTCGTAAATCCTAATGCACACAAGAGCTCCGTATTACCGTTTAAAGTTGGTATATTTCCCACCACTTTAGTTCAATTATCGTTTAATGGTAAAACTCCATTAAATTAATGATTATAACCATTATCGATTTAAATTTCCTGCATAGGGTGATCAAAATGTCCCACACGACCAGCACCAGGGATCTACCCCTATAACTTTTGAGCAAATTGAGATATATACAGTTGAAAGAAAGTATCTTGAGTCCAGAATCCAGACTCTCACAAATTCGGATTTTTGCTCAAATTGAGAGTCAAACCTCTTAGCTTACGTGGATTTCTTTGTGATTCAAGCAATATCCGATTAAATCAAGACTATTAAGCGCTCAGCTGAAAGGGGGGTCATTTTGATTCCAGCCTACCGTTGCGATATAGTGATGGGAGCAGTAAGTGCATGCTGGGATGAACCTCCAGACCCATGACAGCATGTGGTTATCATGGCTCATGCAGATAATACTTACTGCTCTCTTCGCTTTCACGGTAGCCGTAGCCTACATTTTGATTTCTAGTATTATAGTGGCAATCAGTGCCGTTGCGTGTAAGATCGATTATCAATATTTCTCCATTTGAAGCTGTAGTGAAGGATCGATTATTAAGGTGTTCATTGCGAACACCTTGATAAACAATCCTTTTCATTGATTTAAATGACAAGTCAATCGATATATCGCAAAGCACCACGCCAATGGTGGCAATGTGTTCAAATGGTGCACAAGCTCGACAACAAGATGGCGGAGAGGGGCTTAATCTATGATAAATTTATATAATGCTTCTGATGTCAAGGCACAGAGGAAGATAATCATTTTTCTATAATTTTTTTTTTTTTTTTTTTTTTTTTTTTTTTTTTTTTTAGGGGTAGCGTACTCGTAGTTTCCTCAAAATTGACAGTTGAAATTTTGGTGAGAGAGTTCTTTCATCTCAATAGAGTTTACCTTCCTTAAAAAACTTAAAAACGCACCTACATGGAAAACAGCTTTGCGTTTCTCTGATACGAATTTATTGGAGCTTTCCCGCTTTTTTTCCTGTCAGCATTTTTTTTTTTTTTTTTTTTTTTTTTTTTTTTGGAGTTTGGACTCTGGACCAAGGGCTTCTTTTTTTCTTTTGCAGTATTGCGGTTTATCACTTTGAAGGTGTTCCTCTTTCACAAGCTCATATGATAGACATGCATGGCATCATGCGGTGGTGGGATGCGGAAGACGGGCTGCCCGCACGGGTCCAGGTAGGAGTCGTAGGGCACGGAGAGGATCTTGCGGAACTCAGGGATTTTCTCGACCATGCGGCTGGTGTAGTGATTGGAGCAGTTGACTTGGACGCCAGGGACTCCCCTGTCCCGCGCCAGTTTCACCGAGGCCTCCATCAGACGCCGCCCGATGCCCTGGTTCCTCCAAGAACCGTCCACTGCCACGATGTGGATGTGCATGATTCCCTCCTTGTCCTTGATCGGAACCAGCGAGTCCACGTGGTTTAGGAACCGCTGAAAAAGGAAATAGGGGTGACATTACGGTCTCATTCTGTATTTTAAATATTCAAACTTATAAAATCTATGGAGTGGGTCCCCCCAGGTAGGCGACGGAGAGGGCGTCCAGCCAAACGGTGGATAGAGGGCATCCGTGAAGAGATGGAGAGATGCCAGCTTCCGGAGGATCTCTACCATGACAGATGACAGATTCCTGTGGAGAGTAGGCGTCGCAGAGCGCCCTAGCGCGCCGTAAAAGCGGCTTATACATACATACATAAAATCTGACACATTTTGGTTTCATGAACAACTATGTTGTGTGACAACTAAGTTGGGGCGATTAAGGTTGTTCGATTGAACCCACGGACACCACTATTCGTGGTCGTTGGTTGTCCTTGTTGCAAAAGTAACCGATTGAAGGCTTTCCTTCAGCCGATAGCTATGCGCAATGGGGCCTGTTGTCTGAATACAACAATTCTGCCGTGCTGAGGAAAAACGCCATAAGAAAATTCGAGGGTTGCCAAATTTCTCCGGATAAAACATGCATTTTTGAGGACATTCATGCATATTTTTCCTTTAAAGTTTCAGATATTTCAGATTACATTTCGTGCAAATCGGCTGGAAATTTTGGTCAGAAATATTCACAATTTTCTCAGTAAATCCTGTTTTTATCGAAGGAAAGTTGGCAACGTCTGAAGGCTCATACGGCGTTATTCTTTTGCACGGCAGTATTCCTTTTCATCGGTTGACTGCGTCGCACATTTGGACTGCATTTTGCAATAAATTTGGAACTATAAATTCTGGCTTTTCTGGAAAAACACTTGTGTGCATAGGGAAACTAGTGGCACATACGTTGTTTTTAAACCGGGCTAGAATTTATAGTTCCAAATTGCAAATGTAGTCCATTTGACACCCGTATCCAACCCAGATTTTGCATTAATTTCCTTATTTTTGTTGAAGAACGCACATTATGAACATTCTTCGCCATCTTGGCTTGATATTGGCATCTAAAGATCGGCAATATCATATTTTGTGTCAGAGGGTCCACTGCCCTTTAAGGCCCTCAGAATTCCATATTTTGATATCTCCGTAGCCTTCCTTTAAAGTTACTCTAATAAAGCTAAGATGGCCCACTCTATCATTAGCGCACTGAAAAAAAATTCTCGGCGTTTTTACCAAGGTCCGTTGGTACCTTTACCATCTCACTTTTATTACCAATTATTGGTAATCTTACCAAGACAGACTGGTAAGCTTACCTAAAAACCGGTATTTTTACTGTTTTTTTTTTTTTTCAGGTAAAAATACCACTTTTATTGGTAATCAATTCCCTGTAACTTTGCCTTTTTATCTCGGTAATTCTACCACAGTCGATCATAAATATTGGCGTTTTTACCAAGGTCCAGTAAAATTACCGAGAAAGTTCAATAATTTTACCGAGATTCTCGGTTAAATTACCAATTCCATAAATGGTAATTTTACCAAGAAAAAACTGGGATCAAATAGAACCCTGAATTCTTGGTAATTTTACCCTTTTCTTAGTAAATACATCGAGATTTTTTTTTCATTGACGCATAAAAGCATCTGCTAACCATGGCTACAGAAATGCACTTACTGCTTTCTTCGCTATAACGGCAGTATTGTAAACACTTGAAGGTATAGATGATTTAATTTTGAATTGGCAACGTGGGACGGTACCAATTCCATAAATGGTAATTTTACCAAGAAAAAACTGAGATCAAATAGAACCCTGAATTCTTGGTAATTTTACCTTTTTCCTAGTAAATACACCGAGATTTTTTTTCAGTGCAGCGGTCACTCTGTTTATGAAGGTACTAAAATTCTAGCTTTCCTCACCAAAGTCACTAATTCAGAGTTTCCGAAGGTGAAGTTGGCAACGGTGATTTATTAGACGAGCGCAGCGCAGCTTGGCGGAGGATATTAGGAGCAAGTGGCACAGGAGTTTGAATCGTATATCAATTTAATTATCAGTTGCGACGGTGAAGCCGGATAAAAGGTGAAATATACATATAGGAGCTCGTGCGAGGCTTATAATTAATATTTCTATTAGTTGCACCTGTTGCTCCGCGCGCGGGAGCCCATTAAATGCGTGAATTTTTCAAGCCAACGCCACGCCATGCCACGCGCCGCGGAGAGGACCGCTAGGCGCTCAGCCTGCGTCGTAGAGACGATTTTCGACGAGTGGTAGCAGTAATGAAACCCACCGTTGTCAAATCGATAGCGTTGAGCTAACCATTCATGAACGGACAATATAGTGGTATAGTCATATTTGGTCATAGTCAGTAGTTCTTGCGGGTCATAACCCGCAGGAACTACTTGACTACAAAAAATCCTTGACAAAATGTCCTATGCGCACCTGTTCTAAGCGCTCAGCCGATAGGCAGCGCTTTTTGATTTCGACTTGCCTCTAGAATACTAGTATACTAGTACTAATTCGTTTAAATGGCGCACAAGCTCATCGATGTGTAGGCTTTTTGGGGGGGAGTCCAGTTTTAAAATAATAACGCTATGATAACCGTATTTTATGCTTTTAACGTAATGCGCGGGTAGTTACGATCGTTTATCTATAAGAAAATTTCTTAGCGGTAGAGTAATTCTTATCGAAATTGATCGTTGAACTCAAATGAAGCCTAAAAAAAACTTGCCTGATGAGCTCAACGGTGGCTATCATTTTCGGGACACGAAAAAACGCGTTTACGGTTTCCTTGGTAACCTTTGTATTGTATCAGCTGATGTTTTATTTCCATTTCCCAGTCAAGTCGACGGAGTTTATACTTCCTTTCTGCACTAAATACATTGACTAACACCTGAGCGCTTTTCTAATACGACAGTATTAGAACTTTCCCGCTTGTTTCCAGTAGTTTAGGTCCACGCGTTTTTTCGGCAGGGAGTTTTGGTCCACATACCAATTATTATTCAGACTCAAAATAAAATATTCTTGACAGCATACTCAGGAATTTTTCTGCCTAAATCGAGTCACTTTCTTCTCTAATGAAATTTGAAAGTTATGGTAAACTTTATTAAATACGGATGCTAGGACTTGATGAGTATTGGGACTACTGCTCTCTTTTTGTGCCGTAGCATCTTAAGTTATTTTGCGGAGAACGATGCGTATTCTTAAAGGATGCCCGTCGTTCTGAATATGTTGGGGCGCATTCAATTTTGAAGGATACTATGCAACACCTTTGTTGTGAAATAGTTGCAAAAGGTGCCATGCCGCGGCACGGCAAGCGGGCGGCCAGCGCGAAACGCGCATTGGCGCCTACAAACCTAAGTAGATACTTCAAACATTGCGCAATGCGTGAAGTATCCCTTCAGGTTTGTAGGCGCTAGTGAGGCTCTCGCGCTGGCTGCACGCGGCTCCGCTCTGTTTGGCTGTAATATTTAAACTCGCAGAGTCAGCGTTTTTCAACTCATGATTTTGAAATGCTTGCACACTCTGCATGCATGGACTATTCTCATTTAAATTGATGAAAAAAGATATGTATTAAAGGAAAACATATTGTGTATTCTGTAAATATTAAGGTGATTCCGTGTCAAATTTAATGATTTTCAAAGCCCTCTAATTTTTTCTTTCATATTTTGTGCTTTTACTGTGCTGCAGCGCAACCAAACGCTAAAAATTAGACGTATTTGATTCTAACAGATCGATGTACAAATGGGTGAAAACCAAAGATTGCGTGCTTTTTGGTTCCCCCCCCCCTCTTTCATTCATTTTTGTACAGTTCCTTTCAACACACGACTCATTGAGATTAATATCGATGCCATCGCTTGAAAATGTTTTACAAATGTTTGCTACGTTTTACTAAGATGAATCACACTAGGAAAGTAACATTTCATTTAAAAAAAAAAAAAAACGAGTTACCATAAGAACACCTCCTTCTCTTTCAATTTTCTCATTTCGATATTGTCGATATAATTTTAAAATCGGACTTAAATATAATGCTTGAACCAAGTCACAGTTGCTTATTTTACGCATGGATGTAAACTACTGGACAAAACAAGTGCGTGGACAAAAAATCGTTGACGGAATGTCCTGAAACCTTCCTGCGGGCTGACTGTTGAAGGGTATAGACAAATCGATAGACAAAGAAGACATAAGGAGTATGGAGCGACTCGATTGGTTGAAGTGTGTGGTTCTTAAAGGCCAAGGGGGAAAATGATGGACTAACTAATGGGTTGCCTAGTTAGTCTATTACCTACCTCCTTTGTCCATTGCAACCACTCATTTTTGTCCTCTTTGTCTGCAGATTTGTCTATCAATTTCAACAACCATACCGCTGAATCTGATCCTTTTCCCAGGAGCACCACACAGTTGAATGTCTCTGTGTTTAGTGTTACTCTGCGTTACTTATTGTCACTTTTTTGTGTCAGGTCAACCCAAAAGTTGATTGCTCAACGGAAGTGTGTGTAAAATCGACCCACGCCGTAGGTTACCCAGAGACATCAGATCATGAAGAAAGCGTCCCACGGAACTTATGTAGTGACTATGCCGCACAGTTTTTATTGAGGTCGTAGATTTTAAAAACAAAGATTTAGCCCTTTCAACCCAAAGTTATGGTCGATTTGACGCAGAGAAAACTAACTCAAGAAAATATAACCCACAGTTTATTTCACTCAGTGTTTTACTTCCGCTATTAATACAAAAGTTGGGTAGCGTTTCTTTACTGTCCACTTGGTTTACATTATGTTTAAGGGTGGATTCAGAAAGCTCTCAAAATATCATCATAAAAAGGACAATGTTCGCTCGGTATAACTTTGGATACGGGTCCATGAAATGGATTAAAATGAATATTTACCACAAAAACTACAAAATACGGAAGGGCATGTGCTGCGAGTTTTGTATGTTTCAAGGTAAGTTTGCCCCTACCTCAAAGTTTGTCAAGATAATAGCACTTTCCTCTTATATTTTGCTTCTTTTCCAGTGGAAAATACTTGTTGAAAATAATCCCTTGCAAGGATCCACTTCAAAAGTTATATTGCTGAATTTTATTCCAAGTTGGCAAACACTTTTTTTGACGAAGCGTCATAAAGTATGTCACCTATATTCTATGTTCTATAGAAATATAAGAAGACATAAAAAAGGAGCATAATCCCAACTATATCCTTGACTGATTTTGGAGCCAGTTATAAGAGCAGTCACACCAGCCAGAGGTCCGCTTGAGTCGATCAGCCGAAAGCGTAATTGGATTAACAAAAGCCCTGTCTGGGTAACTACTCTCATAACTGGCACCAAAATCAGTTGGGAGTATAGTTGAGACTGTGATTATTTTTTTTCGGTGCAGAAATCATAAGCTTAGAGATAATAATATAATATAAATACTATGATATAAATGATACTATGATATAAATACTAATCTAATTTTGAGAAACTTACCAAAACAGGTATGAATTCAGGATCGTGGCTGGCAGGACATGTTGACTCACCGTCTTCATTCTCTGATTTGACTTTATCCTGAGGCAAATCGTTTTCCACAACATTCAAGACTACACCCATGAGGTCTCCAGTGTCGGATTCCATCTTTAAACACATATCGCTTGTCAGCATGTCTAAAGGAGACTGGAATCCCTTCGTGACTCCCTGAGAGCGATTTAGAGGTTCATCAGGCACAAAATTTTTGTTCAAGAATGCTATTACTCTTTCCTCCTCGTCCATTCCAACCGGAAAAATTTTACCCTCCATCGCTTTTTGTACTGAAATAATTAATAGTGGCTAATTAAATTCACTTTATGGATACAGAACACCTGTCAACCGAATTTGGAATTTGAAACGTCCTAATTTGTAAGAGAAGTGGCATACAAGGAGGAACGAAGAGTAAATTGATGAAATAAGACATATATTTGTAACAAAACGCCTGGGATATTCCAGAGCAATGAGTTGGTTGCACACTAAATCGTCGTGCAACGTCGTGCATGGATACATCGCTGCAAAATGAATCAACTAAAAACTCCTTCATTACGGAGGGTAGGCAATTTGATCTCCGGAGAGTTAATATAGTTGCTCGAGCTAAAAGCGATCTTGCGGCAACGGGAGACAAGGCGCGGCGCGCGTCACGTACCTTCTATTGGCCGTTAAAGAGTGGACCCGTTCAAAACTCCTTCATTTCGGAGAGTAGGCAATTTGATCTCCGAAGAGTTAATATAGTTGCTCGAGAAAAAAGAGGACTTGTGGCTAAGAGGGGCATGGCACCTGGCGCACAGCGCCTTCTGTTTACTGCCGAAGAATAGATCCATTCTGAATTTCTTCATTTTGGAGGGTAAACAATATTAATAAATGACGTCCTGAGTTTAATGTAAGTCAATCCAGATTGATACCAGCATAACAGATGAGATTCTAACTTTACTGTTCAATCGTAATTAATGTAATCACGTATATTTGAAATTGCCGTGACAACTATTTATTGACTTTTTCAAATGCAACTTTACCATATTTACCGCGTCCGCGGGCAGTTTTATCTGCTGCCAGCGATCACATTTGCAAACAAGGAGACGAAATAAAACTTAGCCTTTTTACACAAATTGCCGCGCAACCCATCCCTTTTACGTATATTTCCATTGCTTTATAGCCTTTAAAAGAGAGGCATGAGGAGCAAACAAAAATTTAAACACGATTAGGATCAAATCTGAGAAAATAATTGCGAGACTGCTTGGATTATTAGGTTAGTGTATTGTACGGAATATGCGACTGGAAGCGTGCGATACGTGTAATGTAAATTGTGTTCTATTAAAGAATGGATTTTTGATATTTCTGTGTGTCTGACGTGATTTTCGTGTGAGTTAATCTTTCAAAGGTCTACTTAGTTGCTGGCTGTATGAATTCTGTGCAAAAGACTTAAATCAACCCGTATATTGACTAAAGAATGTTTAAATTCACCGGGAAATCAAAGTTTCATCAGGAATCCTGATCTTTGATATATAATAGGCTATCCCTAGCGACTCCCTAGAGGTGCATATCGTTTCAGTCCCTAGTTGAAGCCTCCTATCGAAGATTGTGAAGTACACGAATCCATCCTGTTGAAAAAACTGGTATTGGGTAACTCTCAACCCACTAATTTACGTATGATTGTAGTTTGTAGACTATAGGGTAAGTATTTATTGAAGAGTTTTTTTTTTAAATATATATTTTTGTACATACTCTTAGTTTGCGAACAAGTTATTCCACAACTTGATTTTATACGCTGCATTTTTATGAAAGAAAATTTCCGAAAAATGTTATAAATAGTACCTTCCGAATGGTTGATTTGAGAGCAAACACCCGTTACTTCAGTCTTCGCGCTGATTATAGCTGCAGTTGTGTGATGAGCACTGAGATGCGGTTAAATTTAGCGCAAAATTCATTGAAGCTGTGTGTTTGTTCTGGCAAATCTGTGACCCACATGTTCAATTTTTCAGGGTCAACATCCAGGCTTCGCCAGTCAAATTGCACCGGATTCGAATTGCTGGTAGAATCGCAATGTTTGCGATTTTTTCATGACTTGCTACAGGGAGCTGTTAAAACAAGAGAAGATAAGTCATCTTGATTGACGCTGTGAATCATCAGCATTTGATGAAGTGAAATAACAAAAAAATCCTGCTGATAAGGTTATTTTAAACTTGTCGAGGATGATCTTTACACAAAGTTGCCGGTCAAAATGATTGCGTATGAATCAGTGGCGTGGCGTGCTTTGCGATATATCGATTCATCTACCATTTGAACCTATGAAAAAGAATCGATATATAGGCTGTTCGCAGCGAACACCTTGATAATCGATTCTTTACCATAGCTTCAAATGGGGAAAAATCAATAATCGATCATTTACGCCACGCCAGCACTGGTGTGAATCATATCTAATCTCTTGTGGTTGAAACGTAAAAAACTAACTATCAAGCTGTAGAGAATCTGAGCGGGAAAAATATCGTCTAAAACAATCAAAGAAAACGGTTTCGGTAAAATTTTCATCAAGCGCTTTAGAACTTATTTCTTTCAATTCATTTTGCGAAAAAAGAAACTCTGAAATATTGTGGAGACAGATGCCACCTTTAAAAATATTGAACTTTTTGCAGTCATTCTAGTGAAGAGATTTTTGTAGCAATGTAATTTAGAAATGTTTTACAGTATGACAACTTTCAAGTTATTTTTTGATACGTGCCGCATAGCGATGAAACGTGTTCCTCTCACTATATTGTCCAATGTAGGTATGAAAATAGCGTCATCTCTTCCTTGGTCAAATGAACGTTAAATTATACGCTGCATTTTTTTTCAAGTTTACTCTCACTCTTTGTTTTTTGGGAGAAAAACAGCATTCTGCCTCGAAAATGTTCAAGCACACTCTTTACACCACTGTTTTTTGTTTTTGGTAAAAAAATAAAAATTAAAATAAAAAGTTAAAATTTATGTTCCAGGAACCCATTTCACAGAATGTGTTAATTAAAATGCACAAGAGGTAAAATTTATTTCCATATAAACACTAATGTATCCCTTTAATATATCGACTGAATTTTTTCCACCACAAATTTTTGTACTTTTTTTTTTTTTTTTTTTTTTTTTTAAAAAAAGAAAATATTTGTTTTCTCAAACACTTTGTGAGTAGATTTTACCAGACATTTATTTGCTTAAAATATTCAAAAAGGAGTTCCCGAAACAAAATTTGTGACTTTTTTATTTTTGAAAACTGATTTTTAGTGGTTGTCGATATGGTCTTCGATATCAATGATATCTTGTCTTGTATAGTAATCAATTAAAAAACATTGAATATGCAATTTCCACAATATACCATTCTGCCTTTCACGTTTATTTTCCGCGACCACGTTCTCACTTAGTAAACATGGGGTTTAACCCCTAAACTAGCCCATGCATCACAAAATACGCACAATCTACTTCCGTTATTTAATTTTGAAAAAAAAAGGATTAACGGCGAAAAGCCACGGAACTAACAGACGCACTGATTGAGTTGGCTGATTGAGATGAAAGCAAGATCGGGATATCGGGAACTGAATAATGGGCGGGAGCTGGGCAAATCACAACCATCACCCAGCCAGTCGTTCAAAATCTTTGTCAGGTCTGCTTGAAAATTCGTTTATTTTTCAGAAAAGCCCCTGAGAATAATACGCAATTGATGCACTGATTGGCTACTGTGTCGAGATGGGCCAAGGTCACACGTGCTGGCAACGAACTTGCCAGGTTGCTTGGTGTAACGAAGCGAGAAAAAAAAGAGTGTAGTGAGAGGAGTTGAAAATGAAACTTGTTGGTTTAAAAGCGAATGTTTCGTACTACGATTTTGGGGAAAAAGGCGTGACGACACTTTTTCGAAAATTACGCTCTTGGCATGTTTGAGTGAAGAAAATTTGTTCAATTTGAAACCAAATTTTCGGAAATGCGTTCCAAATTAACCAACTTATGACCTCAGAAAAATTTGTAATCAACGGTTTCCAAGAATCAAGTTGCCAAAATAGTTTTCTAGAATTTCGGACTTAGGTAGTAGCTGAGAGAGGACAGCAGTCTGAAAGAATACATTAAAATAAGGTAAAGTACACCGGAAAAAAATCTTTGGAGGCAGAGTCCAGACTCTTAAAACATTTGATAGTAAAATATACGATTAATTCGCGCGAATTTTTGCTTGAATCGAGAGCCTAGCCTTTAAATTTCTGCGGATTTTCTTTTGATTCAAGCAAAAATCCGATTGAATTAAGAGTATTTGTTTTCGTCAATTTGTTTAAGAGTCCGGACTCTGACATCCAAGAGACTTTTTTCCAGTGTATGAATAAATAAAATACGATGAAATAAATTAAGAAAATATAAAGCAAAGCCGAGAAAGATTATTTTGAACGGGGAAAAAGTCGGCCCTTAACGTTCAGACTAATAATTGAGGAATAAAACGTCGAACCTCTTTTTTTCTGATTAGATTTGGATGCAAGTCGATGTGTTTCAGATATAAACACGACACAGTTCATTTTTTGTTGAATGACATGTAAAATCACAAATCTTAGCTGCAAGCCTCGCAGACTTTTTTTACCCATGATAATAGCATATCTGTGCAGCGTCCAGTTGTAAAATATCCCTCCCCTTAGCCCCCTGCTCTGGAGCCATAACGTGTCCTAATAACTTTCCGTCTTAAGTTAGTCTTAAGTCATTCTTAAGTCTAAAATTTTATTATAATTGTAAATGTATTAATTCCTGATTAAAGAGTTTAATAAAAAAAAATGTTATAAAAAATAATTTTTTCTGCAGATATCCTCAATTGAATTATCCATTGTTTTATTTACAATAATTGCCTGTCCACTTGGCAACATCTCGCTGTCACATTACTCTTTAAAACGCAGAGCGGCGCGGGTGGCACGGGCGGCAAATCTCAAAGTGCGGAAGTTGTTTACGGCTGAGCGGTGACAGGAATGACGTCTACTTGACTTCATAATCGGCCAAGTTAGACTATCTAAAGAGTATACATAAGTTATAACATGTCGGTGCCGCTCCCTGATTGGTCCAAACCCCGGCGGATTTGCGCGGGGATCTTGGACCATTTTGGACAAACCCACAATTCGAAGGAACCGGAATCTACAAGAGGGGGCTACGGATTTAACGCCACACAGTGGATATTGAGTCAATTAGAGAGGCCGGACATTACATTTTTGACTAAAACTGCAAATTTTGATGATTATTTTGTTACATTTTAAATTTTAAGGGGTGTTCATCGACGAAAAGTTCACGAGGAAACACTGAAAAAAAAAGAAAAAAAACTCCGGCCGCGGGAGCCGCAATTACGGGCTATATAGACATACCGTCCGTTCTGGGCTCAAAGGCCGAAAATCACGGCTGCTGGAGGCGTAGCTTCGATTGCTCCGGGTTCAGAGACCGAAGCTACGGCTCCAGCAGCCGGAATTTTCGGCCTTTGAGCCCGGAACGGACGGTATGTCTATATAGCCCGTAATTTCGGCTCATACGGCCGGAGTTTTTTTCAGTGAACCAATGGGATTAACTTAAGAACCTCAAAATTGTGTATAAACGGAGTAACAAGATGTATAGGTTTTCGGTTACTCACAATGCGATGAAAAAGCTGGGCTACTAGCCGACTTTACAATCATTATAATATGCAATAATTGCTACTCAGGCCCTGCTTTAATAAAAATAAAATAAAAAAAAAAAAAAAAAAAAAAAAAACAACAACATGGTGGACGCGCAAACGTTTTAACCAACACTTTGGTCTTCATCAGTGCGGAGTAACAAGCTTTTGAAGTTTCCAAATTTTGTCCGACCCAAAGACATAAAGACGGAGCGCTCGTATCTAAAAGCACGGGGAAAAAGTGAAGCTAGGTTCGGCGCTGCGCGCTTGTGTGAGTGTGCAAATGAGCGCGGGAATCCATGGCGGCAAACGGAAATTTGATTTGAACTTGTCCTCTTGATTTTTGCACATTTCTTCTTTGAAACGTATTTTAAATTCCTAAAACGAATATACTAAGAAAGTTCGGTCTGCGTCCTAATATAATACACCTACTTTTGCTCGGTAACAGGCAGTAATCTCAGATAAAGTTAGTTTTTCTTCTGCTCATGGTGGTTCTGCAGGTTCAAACAGGCCGTTACAGTTCTAGATCAACGTTACTCCCAAATGAAATTAATCGGTCGACGACGGACTGAAACTAACCTAAAGTTAAAAAAATATGAGTGTGTACCTGAATTTGGGCAAAAATCAACCTAAAATACTTTGTTTCCGCAATTTTATTTATTAGTTCCCGCCCTACATTTGAATTCAAACTTGTCCCGATTTCGCCGCCAATCCTCTAGCCAATAGTAGAGGTGATTGAAAAGAAGCTCTAGAAGCTTCATTTTTTGCTTTTAGTGCTCCGTCTTTATGTCTTTGGTCCGACCTCTCCTATTGACTCAATCCTCTGTGCGCGCTATTACTATTTCAAGAGTGCGAATGGAGCATTAAACAAGGTACGAATTTGTGACACTGCTTCAAACTTGCGCACGTAGGACACAATACGGAACGAAAATCACTGATACTGAAGTTGTATTTAGTGTAAAAAAAGGCTGCAAAAAAATTGAAATTTTCTGCTCACAAGAACAACAAGAGTCCACTTGAATCAAATCGCGCACTACAAAGGTTATGGCAGGCTTTTCAATGTTCCCTCCACACCTTGTGTTGTTCCAAGTGCAAACATCGTGCAATAGCTGACAGTGTGCAGAAGCGCCGATATTGAGGTTGTCATATTTCATATTTTCACACTGCGAAGACAAGCATTGCCATTTCCCGGCAGTAATTCCGAATTTCAAAACTTTTGCAATTCCTCGGAACTGTACCTGGAATCTTCAAAATTTCCGGAATATCCCAAAATTTTCAGGGATTTCGGGATTTTTTGTCAGTTTGACCTCTTACTTGATCAAATTTGATGATTTTTTTTTTTTTAAGGATAGGGGGCAATGGCGATTGGGCGTCGCAAAGCGCGAGGCGGCGCTATAAAAGCCGCTTAATGCATGTATTTTGGCCCTAACTTTGGTCGAAAATTGAAACAGCTTAGAAAAATGTCATGTATGGTCAAATCGACGACTCTTGATCATCTACCCTGTAAGAACTTGTCTTTAAGTGAGTTGTTTATGAGAGGGTTTCGCCTGATTTACCAGCGCAGAGTAGTGAAGTATTGCAGTTTTCTCGAATAATTGCTCCTTTTCGGTCCTAAATTAGATTGTTTATGTATGAGCACAAGCGACTACCACTATCAAATTCGAATAAGTTAATCTTAAGTACACCCATCACAACATATTTAAAGGAGAAAGTGGTAGTCACTTGTGCTCATACATGAACAATCTAATTTAGGACAGAAAATGAGCAATTATTCGAAAAAACTGCAAAACTTCACTACTTTGCGCTGGTAAATCAGACAAAACCCTTTCAAAAACACCTCAAATAAGGACAAGTTCTTACAGGGTAGATGATTAAGAGTCGATTTGATCATACATGACATTATTCTAACTTGTTTCAACTTTCGACCAAAGTTAGGGCCAATGCCCTCCTTAATGGGACACATCCTTTCCAATTTTTCAAATTTTGACGCGTACGGCGCGTCGTTTGGAAGTGGCGTCCGATGGAACCGCAGCATATTTTAGAATTAGACGTTGTGCGTGTGGATGCAATAATTCACCGGCTATTCCACGCTCGTCGGCAACGACCAAGCGCCACGATAACAAACTGAGAAAATCGGCTGATAAGACGAGTGATAATGATTTCAGGTGAAGGACGGCGCTCACCTTTCACGCCGGGCAGGGGCGTGCTTAAGGGGTTACGCGGTTGCCAAATTGTCATGTTTTCCTTCGTACGCTTTGGTTTGCTCAAGCGTTGAGGAGAAGAGAACCGACCTAATTAAAAACAAAAGGTTTGATACCATTTCAAAGGGACAGTCTTTCCGTGATAAAAGTACAGTATTTACACAGTCTTTTAGAGAAAATCACAGAGAAAAATAAAACCAGCTTTGCTTTAACTTCCACCAAATGTGGTAATGTGCAGGAAAACATGTCACCTAGAAGACCGCCGTGATAAGGAAGAACGCCGTATGAGCCTTCAGGTGTTGTCAAGTTTCATTCGATAAAAATCGAATTTACTGGAAAAATTTCGAGAACATTTTTATCCAACATTTTCAGACACTTTTGTACGCAATTTACTCTAAAATATCTGAAAATTTCAAGGAAAAATGTGCATAAATTTCGTCCAAAATACATGTTTTATCGAAGGAAAGTTGGCAACTCTCGAATGTTCATACGGCGTTCTTCCTTAGCACGGCAGTAGAGGAAGTATGTGCGGAAGTACAGGAGGAATGTGCTGAGGACCGTCGCCGACTGTGCACAAGTGCAGATTGGAAGGGTAAAGCAAAAAAAAAAATATCACAAAAATTTAAACTTAAGGGATTTAGAGAGTTTTTAAATATGATGCCAGTATATCGCCATTAAAATTTTTGAAAGTATGTAGTTTTATTTAACGTGACACGCATCCAAAATAAAATCCCTATTATGCGCACCATAGCGTGA